TGAGCTGTGCCTGTGGCCTGTGCCTCAGTTTCCATTTCTGCCTGTTGACCAGCTTTGTGTGATATCCTGGCCCCTCAGACAACCCACATCCCTCACACCACCCACTGGGCCCCAAGCCAGCTGCTCAGCTATGTGCTATGCCAGGCCTCATTAGGCTGATCCTGTTATCCTACCCTGGGGAGCCCCCTCCTGCCCGCCCCAGCTGCCTGCAGGGCCAGCCCCAGACCAGCCTCATATGGTCAAGGTGGGTGGGAACTTTATGGTCTAGCCCAGGGGTGGGCAAACTTTTTGACTCGAGGGCCACAATGGGTTCTTAAACTGGACCGGAGGGCCGGAACAAAAGCATGGATGGAGTGTTTGTGTGAACTAATATAAATTCAAAGTAAACATCATTACATAAAAGGGTACGGTCTTTTTTTTTTTTTTAGTTTTATTCATTTCAAACGGGCCGGATCCGGCCTGCGGGCCGTAGTTTGCCCACGGCTGGTCTAGCCACAGAGGGCTGGGTTAGAAATGGTAGGTCCGTGGATCGGAAAAGCTGTGGCCCCATGCCACACACACTCGCCAGCCCTGTCTCCCTGAGAACACAGCAGTGGGTGTAAGAAGAGGGCTCCAGACACAGTGGAGAATGGAGGACTGACCCTGTAGGCAGGTCATAGGGCCCCTGTGCCCTCTCCTCGCTCATCTCCCCATACTGGCCCTGGTCCCATTGCTGCAGCGACACTGGTCACCTTGAGCAGGCACAGCCCTACCTCGGAGCCTTTGCTCCTCCCCTGGAATGCTCTCCCCAGATCTTCACTTGGTCCTAGCGCAGATGCTCCCTCCTCTGAGAAGCACTTCAACCTCAGAGCAGCCCTCCCACCGCTGGTCCTATTGCTTCACCTCGTTTTATTTGCTGCTGTTGTTGTACTGTCACCATCCAGATTACCATATATATTTCTTATTTAGCATCCATTGTCCTGATTGGACAGCGAGTTGGCAAGGGTGGGGCCCAGGTTGGCCTTGGTCATCCTGAGTTCCCTGCCTGGCCCAGCATACAGTAGGGGCTCAATAAGTGTTTGCTGAGTTAATGTGTTAGGTGCAGAGCCCAGCCTGGCTGTCTGGGCTTTCTGCCATCTGGCCCTTTATTTACTTGCTAGTTCTGCTCTACTGTGTGTTTTTGAGGAAACCTCTTACTTCCCTGAAACTGCTTTTCCCCCCAAAAGCAGAGCCTATCATATCCTCCCCATGTTCCCTCTCCCCCTCAGCATTACCCCTATTACCCAGAGCCCAGGGATGGTAGAGGCATCGAGAAAATGTCGGGAGACAGACCCAGGCTCAACCACTGTTCAACCACTTATTTGACCAAATCACTCTACCTCTCCAAGCCTCAGTTTCCCTGTGTGGAAAATGGGGCTAATAATAATAACAGCTTTTTCCAGGGACTGTGGGGAGAATTAAACATGTGGAAAGTCCTTAGCATAGTGCTTGGCTCTAAATAAATGAAATCGCCAACACTGCTGGGTGTTATTGTTGTTAGAGAGGTCATATGGTTACAGTGGTTAAGAATGTGGAGACTGGGGTGTTGGGGGTGGGGCTTTGAGGGATGAGTAGGAGTTTGCCCAACCACTAAGTTCAAATCTCACTTACACTCTGCTTGACCCTTAGCAAGTCATTTCACTTCTTTGGACCTCAGTTTCCCCCTCTACACAATGGGGGTAAAAGAGTTCATACCTTGCTACGAGTCATTACATATGAAGTGCTTACACCAGTAGTGTTGCTCGCTAGGGTTACCATTAGCTATTATTATTTTACTTCTGTTATTATCACAAAGCAACCAGCACAGTCCTCCCCAGAAGTCACTCTCTCTGTCCGCCTCTCAGCTACACTTTGGCCAAGACAAACCCAGAGCCCCTTAAGATAAGCTCAGGGGCTGACACTCTCTTCTCAGAGTAGCAGGGAGCCAGCAATGGTGCTTGCAGTTGGGCAGCAGGAAGCTCATGGGGGAAGAAGATGAGAGGCTACGCCCCCACCTCTGGCCAGGCCTGGAAGGGTCTGCTTGGGGTGTCTGTGAAAGTGCCAGCCATGAGGCTGGCCCCCGACCCCTGCAGACCCAGCATCGGAACCAGCTGTGCTAGCCAGATGTTCCTGGTTTACCCCCAGATGTGTGTTGCCAGCTCGAGGCTGCCCTGGCCTCCCCATCCCCACTATGAGGTGGGGCTGGGCCCTGGGGCCCTCTGAGGGAGGGGACACATTTTTGTGGGCTGCAGAATTTGTTTCTTGTTTTGCAGAACCGTTGAGTCTTGCCTTGAGAGAGGCCCAAGTTCCGCCTGTCATGGGGCCTCAGTTTCCCCATCAGTGGACCCCCAGGGGCCATCTGGGAGAAAGGAGACAAGCAGGGCTGTCCTAGGAACAGGCCCAGCTGCCAGCCCAGGAGCTGTTAGCACTGATGGGGGAAACAGAGGCACGGGCGTGCAAGCATGTGGGCCCAGCTGTTGCTGTCGGCTGGTTCTGCAGAACTTCCAGAACTTAAATGACCCTCCAGGTAGGGGAGGGTGTGCTGGGCAGTCTGTTGTACAGATGGGGAAACTGAGGCTCAGTCAGGAAGAGGCAGAGCAGGGATCCAACTCGGCTGTCTGGAGTCCATGTGCTGCAGTATTCAGACGCACGCCCTTCCCCAGTGTGCAGGCCGCGCCCACATCTGCCCCTGTGACTTCACAGCGTGGCTCGCTCTGCCTGTGGACAATGACAGCCCTACTAGCCACCCCACTCAGCTCTCCCCTGGCATTCCTGTGGTGCTGGTGGCCCCTGTGGACACTTTCTGAAGATGGGGAAACTGAGTTACAGTGGGACCAGGGACATGTTCAGAAGTGAGGTAGAAAGGAAGAAGGGCGCACATGGAGGGAGGTACCAAAAGCGTGGAGACTGAGGAGCTGCAGGCAGCTCATGCCTCTGTGAACAGAACTATTGAGATCACCCAGCCCAGACTGCCCCTCCGGAAACCCCTCCTCCAGGAAAGACAGGCATGGACATAGCTATGCTGCAGGGCTGACAAGAGGGATGGACCTGTGACCAGGGTGCCAAGATGGGGAGCAGAGAAGGCTCCTGGAGGAGGGGCTTTAGTAGCTAGGGCTTTAAGGATAAGTAGGAGTTTGCCCAATGGGGACAAGCCTCAATGCCAGGCTTCCCCCAGACTAGAGGAGTGAGTGGATTGAGGGAGGGGTCACCTCTTGTCCTTCCTGTCCCTGGGTGCAAGCATGAAGCAGGTGCCTCCCTGAGGCCAGGAGCTCTGCAGGATGGAGGCTGTGAACCCTGGGAACAGGTAGGTCCCTGGGAAACTCTGAAAAGGCAGAGCCCCGGGGCGTTGCCTGGACACCGGGATAATGAGCAGCATTTCCTGGCACCACCAAGGAAGCTGCCAGAAACACCCACACACCCTCACCCTGATTGTCTGCTCCTTGGGTGATTAGAAGGACCTACCTGGTTGTGTGACTTCGGGCTATTCATCACCCCTCTCTGAGCCCCCATTCCCCTCCCTCCCCACCCAGCCCTGGGGATTCGGTGCCTCCAGCTAGAGGTGGAGGTCTAGCCTCGATCCCTCTTGCTGCAGTTCAGACTGGCCTGGCCCCCAAGAAGGGAGGGTAATCCCTTCCCTCGACAGTGAGGACTCTCCAGGATCCGGACATTGCCTGAGGGCTGGGAAGGGAACCGGCAGAGTGAGTGACACCTGTCTGGGCAGAGTGAGTGGCACCTGAGATGCTAGCAGGTGTGGACCTTGGCCGGGTACCAGTGGTTCTGGCAGGTCAGTTCTCTCCTGGGTCATTCTGCCTCCTCCACTGCCATGTGCCTCGCTCGCAGCCCACCGTGTGTGCTGTTCACTATTCCCCTGGGAACTTTGCAGTTAATGACCCAAGAGCACTGAGGGCGTGTTCATGTGTGTGTCCCTGTGTATGTGAGCATGTAGCCGGAATGCAGAACATGGTTGTGTTCAAGTGTGATCATGTTCGAATGCCATGTAAAATGCCCACGTGTGAACGTGCATGAGTGTGAAACATGCTAGCATGTGCATGTGGTAGTGTGCAAACGCCATAATGCACGAGTCTAAAAATGCCCAGGTGTGTGTGTGAACATTAGTGTGAGTGTGAAACATTAGTGTGTGAGTGTGGTAATGCTTAAGTGTATGTGTGTGATCATGTTCAAGTATGTGGGTGTGAAAACGTGTGTGACTGTTCGAAGATTAAGGGTAAACACATCCAAGAATGTGATAATGTTTGAGTAGGAATATGAAAATACCCTAGTGTGTGAGTGTGGTAGTGTTTGGGTGTAAGTGTGAGAACTCTTAAATGTGTGTGTGACAGTGCTCAAGTGTGTGAATGTGAGGGTTTCAATGTGTGTGAAAATGTCCAAATGCATGGTTGTGAGTATGAAAACACTGAGTGTGTAGATGGGAGAGTGTCTGAGTGTGTGAAAACATCCACGTGTGAGTGGGATACAGTGTGTGCAAGAGTAAGAATGCTGAGTGTGTGAGGGCACCCACCTCCCCAGATCTCCAGGCCTCCATTACACAAGCACACCTGGCCCCTCCCCTGTGCCCTCCACCACACCCACATCACCCCCTCCCTGTCAGGTCCCTGCCAGAGACAAACCAGTTGGGTGACCCCCTTACAGAAAGATCCATTGTTAACTGATGCTTATCAGCTGGCTTGCTGGACCCCCTCCATTGTCAACCCCCCCTGCTTTCCTGTCCCCCATCAGAGTTCTGGTGGGGTCTAGTGTTTCAAGGCCACGGGGAGGGGGGTGGGGAGGGAGGGGGACTCCTGTGGCCAGGCCATCTCTTGGCTGGTGTTGCATCCATTCTCCAGCCCCCAGTGAAGCCCTTAGCGGAGACAGAGGACCACGGCCTGGCGCTGTGCCCGCCTTGTTCCAGCCTAACAGGGAGACGGAGGCACACTATTCCAAGACTGGGTGTGAGAGCAAGCAGGAAGTTGGGGTAAGAGAAAGCCATGCCCATCGGAGGACTTTTTTTTTAACCCTCTCCCAAGGATATATTTTTTTCCCATTGATTTTTAGAGAGAGTGGAAGAGAGAGGGAAAAACAGAGAGAAACATTGATGTGAGAGAAACACATCGATTGGTTGCCTCTTGCATGTATCCGTCCAGGGCCAGAGCCGGGAAGGAGCCTACAACCATGGTACGTGCCCTTGATCGGAATCGAACCCGACACCCTTCAGTCCACAGGCCAATGCTCTATCCACCCGGAGGTCTTCAGCCTGGGTGGGTTTCCCTGCTGTCTCCCCCTACCAACTCTGTGACCTTGGGTAAGTCATGTGACTACTCTAGGCCTCAGTTTTCCCATCTGTGAAATGGGGATAAAGACTCTTTGTGAGGTTGAAGTGACTTAATATGCATTGATTGTAGAACAGGATCTGGCATAAAAGGGGGTGGTTTGGGCACTTGACAAATGGGCTGACCTCTATTTGCTGCACAACCTTGAGAATGAAATATTTCTCTGCAGCCCACAAATTCCTGCGGGATCTATCCTGTCACACCCCCCCCACCCCCCACCCCCCCGCCATTCTGCTACAGCCACAGGGGGCCCTCTCCTGTTCCTTCAATGAGCCAGGCCTGGCCCTGCCCCAGGGCCTTTGCAGGTGGTGTGCCCTCTGGTATCCAGGTTTGTTATATGCCCCCCTGTCTAGGAGCTCATTCTCTACCACCACCATCAACAGTAATAAAAATTGTGATATAAAATAGTGGCAAGCCCTTAGGGTGACTCCACGACATTTGCTCCCAAGCCCAGCTCAGCCCATGTCATGTGTGTTGTGTCTGCCTTCGAATTTCAGGTCCTTTTCTAGCGAAATGCCTTTGAACAAGCCCCTGTTTTGTGCTTCAGTTTCCTCAGCTGCAAAATGGAGATAACAGTGCCTCTCTCGTGGGCTCAGCGCCCAGTTTGGTATAGAGCAGGACCTTAGTAAATGCCCACTGTTACTGTCCAGGGGGTGTAGGTCCTGTGCCTGTGCATCCATGCGAAGGGGGAGAGCTCTTTGCTCTGCCTAACCCAGTGGTTCTCAACCTTCCTAATGCCGCGACCCTTTAATACAGCTCCTCATGTTGTGGTGACCCCCAACCATAAAATTATTTTCGTTGCTACTTCATAACTGTAATTTTGTTATGAATCAGGATGTACTTTCATTGTTACAAATTGAACATAATTAAAGCATAGTGATTAATCACAAAAACAATATGTAATTGTATATGTGTTTTCCGATGGTCTTGGGCGACCCCTGTGAAAGGGTCGTTTGACCCCCAAAGGGGTCGCGACCCACAGGTTGAGAACCGCTGGCCTAACCCAAGCACGGCCAGGCCCACGCAAATCACATGCAAATGAAATACAAACAATACACAAATGAAATGCATATTGCCTGCAAATTGCTCTCACCTGGGTGAGCAGTCTGCACTCTGAGGTGTGCGCTTGGGGGCGCCCGGCACCCCACGGCCGAGCCCAGGCGCTGACCCGCGTCCAGCCCGGCTTTCAGTGCTCTGTGTAAATGTTTACACCGGGCCTGTTGCCAGACCCCGTGCGGGGCCGGCACAGGCAGCCGGGTGGGGGAATGTAAACGCAGGCTTGGGGCCACCAGGCAGCAGGGAGCTGCTCAGACATGGTTGAGGGGGATAGGGGTGTAAGAGGGTTATTAAACACCTACTGTATGCACTAAGCCCGAAGTTCCCAGTAGTCACAGCACCGAGTAATGGGTTTCTAATGGGGGATGCTTAGGGCTTGGGGTGTGGGGAGCAGTCAGGGAAGGCTTCCTGGAGGAGGCACCGGTCCAAGCTGAGACTGAAAGGAATGAGAGGGCAGGGGAGAGAAAGTGTTCTGGGTGGAAGGACTGGCTTGTGCAATAGCTTGGAAGTGGGTGGAGAACAGCTTTGGTTCATTGCAGCCCCTTTCTGGGCATCAGTTTATCTGTCTGGAGGGTAAACCCAGGCTCTGAAAGGACAGCAAGTCACTCTGAAGAACATCATATGTAGGAACCAAGTGTCAACCCCACGGTTTCTGCCCCCAGACTGTATGCTAATGCCGGGTCTCCTGGCCACCCTTGTCCCACAATGCTCCCTGTTGGGAATGCTTCATCTTTCAATCTTTCCCTAAACACTGGGCTCCAGCTACCCCAACCTCTTGGCTGGATTGGCCCAGCTTGGTTCAGCCTCAGTTCCTTTGCACTGGCCGTTCCTCCTGCCTGAGATGCCACTCCCTTCTGCCTGGCCAACTCCTACTTTTGTTCAAATCTCAACTTTCCTCAACCCTCCAGAAAGCACTCTGGCACCCCCAGATGGGGTGGTCCCCTGAAACCCGTGCCACAGCGCCCACACCCTCCTTAGCAGCAGTTTTTCACAACCATGTTCTGTGGTTCCTTGCTGAATCATGTCTGTTATCATTCAGCATTAAGCAGTAGTGGTTCAAAATCATGGGCCCACTGTGTCCCCAGTGCCTGGCCCAGTACGCTGTACCTGTGTGTTGCCTGGCAGACTGAGGCCGTTTGGCTGACCCTCCCGTGCCCGCAGGCCGAGGATGCAGCGCTGGAAGGCAGCAGCCTTGGCCTCGGTGCTCTGCAGCTCTGTGCTCTCCATCTGGATGTGTCGGGACGGCCTGCTCCTCAGCCACCACCTCGGACCCGCGTTGGCCCCGCTGCGCCGGCCACCTCGAACCCTGGACGCACGGATTGCCCGCCTGGCCCAGTGTAAGCCCTTCCCCCGACACAGGGACAGCCATACTGGTGGAATGTCAGGCAGTGGAACCAGGCCACAGAAGCTTTTTTAAAGATGGGGTGGAGGGAGGATGCAAATCCCCCAATGGCAGGGTGTGGGGGGGCGTGGCTCCTGGGAACTGGGGTCTCTCGGCTTAGCTGTCACAAGGAATTAGACTCAGTCCCTCAGGGGCCAGATGGAGATTAGACCTAGGAACTCTGGCAGGGGGGCCCCACCCGCAGCACAGCGGGGGGCCGGAGGGGGAGGCTGGACGCAAGGCCCCAGTGACCTGCATGTGTTGATAGGGAACAAGAACGGGGGCGACAGAGAGAGATATAGAGATGCACAGAGACAGAGACAAAGGTGGGAGAGAGACGTGGAAAAGGCAGTATGGTCGAGAAGTGAAACTCCCACCTGGGGAGAATGGCCACCTGGCCCAACTCCTCACTTGACCCTCGTGCCTGCCTCCTGCAAGTTCTGCATGGGCCCCAACCTTGTGTGTGCACACATGACCACGCAGTGTGGTGTAGCCACAGGCCCAGTGCATGCCTGGCGCCTGCGGGTGGGGGTTGCGGGTGGAGGCTGCATGCACACCCGCCCTGCCAGGCCTCACAGTCCTTCTTTCTTGTCCTCACAATAGACAAGGGCGGCCTCCGGCACAGACTGCACTTCCGTTCCCAACACTTGCCCTTGTAGGCCGCAAAGCCCTTCCCAGGACACTGGGTTCCAGAGACCTGGGTGGGTCCCCAAAAGCTAGCGTTCCAAGACCTGGGGACAAAGCACCAATGGTGGAATCCACTGAGAAGAGTCTCAGCCCATGGGCGGGTGCCTGCCGGTCCTGTGTCCTGTCCCTGGGCCCAGCTGTACTGGGGGAAGGGAGTGGCTGTTGATCCCCTCAAGGTCCTGGGACTAATGTGCTGATGGTGAAATTTCAGGCTGGAGGAATGAGGAGCAGATCTCATCTCTTTGTGTTCCAGACCCTGTGCACGTGGCCTGGCCTGCTGGAGGGATGCAGGGACAGATATACTAAAAGATTATTCATTGTTTATTTGAAATTCAGATTTAACTGGGCATCTGTATTTCATCTGGCAACCCCCCAAACAACTCTCTAGAAGCACACCTTGAGGCGTGCACGCTAAGTGGAGGAGTTTTAGGCACCAGAAGTGAGTCGGGCTCAAATCTAAGCCCAGAGCAGAGAGTGCTGGCTATCCCAGACTGGCCCTGGGCTGCAAGAACTCGGAAAAGGCTGCTCCTTCATCCCCCACTTCCCACCCTCCCAGCCACAGCCACAGTGAGGACTCTGCGAGCCACACTGGACAGACAGGGATACTGGCAGAGGAGGGCCAGCACCTACCTGGAGTTGAACAAGAAGAGTGGCAGAGCTAGGCTCAGGGCCTGGGCTTGTCTGCTCTCCGAGGCCTGCTGTGGAAACAGACACTCTCAGGGCAGCAGACAGTCCCTCCCCCTCAGGCTTCCCAGTAAGATGCTTCTTTTGACAGCCAGGTGTGCCAGCCTTGGGGGCAGGTCCCGGCTAAACTCAGGATTTCCCCTCCCAACCTGTGACTGCAACCTGTCAGGCTGGGCGCCTCCTGCCAGCCATTCCAAAGTCTGCACTTCTTTCCTGGGGCTGCGGAGCACAACAGATCCTCGAATAAAGTCATTTCCTTGAACCTAGTTTTGTTCCAATGATGAGATGCCGTAAGAATGTTTATATTAATTAGCCTTTGGTAAAACGGGTTTCATTCCTTGTCATTTCGCCTGAGTTCCAAGAACCTACCGGTGATGTTAAGTAAGGACTTACTGTCCTGGAGCAGGGCCGGCCTCTTGGGAAATAAATTTAGGCTACGGGATCCTGGAATTCTGTGACTCTGGGCACCTCCCGAGGGCAGCTGTGGGAGGAGAGGGCTGAACTTGGGCCAAACTTGGGTACTCGATGGAGGCAGGAAAAATGCTGTCCAGGTTCCTCTCTCACTGCCACCTGCTAGTGGGTGGCCTTGGCCCAGTCTCTGCTATTCTGGGTACCCAGTTTCCTTACCTATAACATGGGAGTGGTCCTGACAATAGCTGCTGCCACCCATGGGGTGGGGTCCCCACACAGACCTCAGTGCCTGCTGCTCCTCTGTGTGTTCTGAGAAGCCCAAACACCCGATTTGGGTTTCTGTATAGGGAAACTGAGTCCCGCTGCACAGTAGAGCAACAGGTACGGGGTGGGGGGTTGTGAGCAGCCCAAGGGCTCCCAGAAGATGTTGGGGCTTTGAGTAGGGACCCCAGAGAATGAGGGAGAGACCCATACAGCTCAGCTAAAGGGTGGGGAGTTGGGGGGGGCCCAGCATAGGCATCGGATCACAGCGTTGGGGGGCGGGGCTGAGACACCCAGATGAGCTCAGCTCAGGGGGGCAGGCTGGAAAGTGGTCCAGGGAACGAAGAAAGGGTTAGCCAGGCTCTGAGCAGCTCAACATAGGGCAGGGTCCAAAGAGAGATGCTGGTAACCTTGGGGGCCCAGCGTAGGGGTCTGCATATGCACCCCTCCAACACCTTCCAGAGAGGGCACGGGGGCGCGGGGGCAGGAATTGGGAAATGGGCTAGCGCCCAGCGCCCCCACAAGGGTCATTTTTGCAGGGAAGAGCGAGGGTAGAGGACTCCCTCCCACCCACCCACTGACTCCCATCCCTTCTCTCCCTCCCCTCGCAGACCGTGCACTACTGCAGGGCGCCCCGGACGCCGTGGAACTGCGCGAGCTGACGCCCTGGGCAGGGCGGTCCCCAAGTGTGCGCCGTCGGACTGGGCCCCGGCGGCGGCGCGCGCGTGCGCGGTCGGGGACGCGACCATGCGGGCTGCGCGAGCTCGAGGTGCGCGTGAGCGAGTTGGGCCTGGGCTACACGTCCGAAGAGACGGTGCTGTTCCGCTACTGCGCAGGCGCGTGCGAGGCGGCCACGCGCGTCTACGACCTGGGCCTGCGGCGCCTGCGCCAGCGGCGGCGCGTGCGGCGGGAGAGGATTCGCGCACAGCCCTGCTGCCGCCCGACGGCCTACGAGGACGAAGTGTCTTTTCTGGACACGAACAGCCGCTACCACACGGTGCACGAGCTGTCGGCGCGCGAGTGCGCCTGCGTGTGACCCTACCTCACCGGTCCCGGCCGGACAGCACCCACCGTTCCAGCTGTCAAACCCCGCGACAGACTGCCCATGCGCAGAAGATGCCGTCGAGGTTTCCGGACTCTCGCGATAACTGTACAGAGATAAAGTGTGGAAAGTCGATGCGGGTCTTGATTGTGCGCCCCGAGGGTGTCCGCCTCCGGGAGGGGCAGGAGGACGTGTGAGGAAGTGGCCCCCTCTCCCCGGGGAAAAGGGGGATGGGCGCGGGTGTCACCTGCATGGTGGGGAGAAAGGAAAGATTCAAAGAGGGTCCTGTTTCTGGAGTACAAGTGGGGAAATGGGGTTAACGGGGGCATTGTCGGCGGGGACTGCCCTGCCACCTCCCTGCAGGCCCCTGGGCTCCTCCCCAGCATGATGTGCTTCTGGGGAGGGAGAAGGATCACCATGTAGAAGAGGAGACAGGCCAGCTGGACCAGTGATCCCAACGTGTCCCCATTCCCACCTCCACACCGTGCGCTTCTGGGGAGGGAACGGGAGCAGTGAAGTCGGTGGAGGAGGGCGGAGTCACTGTGCAGAGGGGAGGCTGAGGTCCAGGTGGACCGGGCCTCCCTCACCGGACGGGCATCCTCAGGCTGGGTCAGCCCCCACGAGTGAACTGAAGCCACTATCTCCTTTTACCAGCTAAAAATACACACGCGCTGCCCATCTCCCTGCGGGGATCGCTCTGGGGAGGGCGCCAGCCCCATCCACCCCCAAACTGGCGCCTGTTGGGGCAGAGCTGGTCCCGAGGGATCGAGGTCCTGGCCCATAAAAACCCTGGCCCGAGTTCCAGGGGGGATTTATGAGGAGCCCCCGTGGAAGATGGAAAAAGCACTGGGCGGTGTTTAGATTTGCCTGCAGTGTCACCTTGACGTTTGGCAGGCCGAGGAAGGGCACAGGGTTTTGAATTCCCAGAGCTGGGGGAGGGATCCGTGGGTCCCATGGTCTGAGGAGGGACGGGTGAGGGGGTAGGTGCTGCAAGAAGAGGGCTGGCGCCCAAAAGACCAGAGGGTGTGGACTCTTCCCCTCCAGCCCCTCAGGCTGGGGACTCCCAAGAGAACATCCCCTTCCCCCGCTTTGCTGTTTCCCTAGATGGGCCCCCTCCCTTCCCTCCTGCACATCCAAGTTCAGGACCACCCTCTAACCACCACATCCATCCCAGACCCAATCCATGTCCAGAAGCTGGAGGGCTCGAATCAGAAGCTGTCCCAAGAAGGATCACCTAGTCAGGCAGGCACCTCCCCCAGCTCCCTGCTCCCCAGGGCTCTGGTTGCAACTAGAGAAACTTGAGGCAGCTAACGGGAAGGACTTACATGGAGCTCCAAAAGCATGGCTGGCAGCCAGGCCCCACCCAGCCAGTGGGTGGTCTGTTTGGAAGGCAATTTCAGGATGGAGGCCGGCTGGGGCCCTTGCCTGCCCCCGCAGTATTCTGACTCTGAGGTTTGGGGTGGTGTATTTCTCCACTGTTTGGGCTGACTCAGCCCAGTGTGGCAGAGGCTGGGGTTCCCAGACACTGCAGAAGCTGAGCCTCAGTTTCCCCATTGTAGATGGCTCTGAGCTCCAAAGAGGGACGTTGCTGCGCTCAGGACACACAGCAGGCTTTGGAGCCTGGGTTTGTGGCTGCCTCAGGGTGTGTGTGTATACGCGCGTACACACACACACACACACACACACACACACACTCCCCCAGCCTCCAGGGACCTCAGCCTCCCGTCTCCCACCCAGATCCAGCATCCCAACCACAGAGCTCTGGCTTAGCCCGCCAAATAACTGAAATGTAAACAGAGCTGCCCCCACAGACCCCTGGGCAGGGGTTCTCAACTCATGTCTCACACACACACACACACACACACACACACACGGCGCAGAGATTGCCACCCACATGGGGCTTAGCAGACAGGATCACACGTAGACCCACAGCCCACATGCTTACACGCTCAGTTGTCATTCACGCTCAGAACTGCACACTCAGAGAGGGGCACCCTCAAAGTCACCACTCATTCGAAAATAAAAGGACATAAGCCCCAGCCAGTTTGGCTCAGTGGATAGAGTGTCAGACTGAAGGGTCCCGGGTTCAATTCTGGTCAAGGGCATGTACCTTAGTTGCAGGTTCCCCTGACCTGGTCGGGGTGCCTGCAGGAGGCAACCAATTGATGTCTCTCTCACATCAATGTTTCTGTCTCTCCCTCTCCCTTCCACTCTTTCTAAAAAACATCAATGGAAAAATATCCTCAGGTGAGGATTAACAAAAAAAAAAAAAAAAAAAGAGACCCAGGCTCACACATTCTGCCTGCATGCTCACGTGTCACACACAGCGTCACACTCTTCTCCCCGCTCTCCTTTGAGGGGTGGGCCCTGCCCTTGTGCCAGCCCTGCCCACACTAACCCCAAGACAGCCTGGCCCCCGCTTTCCAGTCCCTCTGGGCCTTCCTCTCCCCACTCTGCCTGAAGGGCTTGCTCTCAATGGGTTTTACACCTCTCGACATTTGTAGCCGACCATTCTGGGTCTGGGAGCCATGCAGGCTGCTGAGCAGCATTCCTGACTCCTACCCACTCGATGCTATCAGCCCACCCCAAGTCTTGACAACTACAAATGTCTCCAGACGTTGCCGAGTGTGGTGGTGGTGGTGGTGGGGGGGGGGGGGGAACAGAGTCACCCTGGGGTGAGAACCGCTGTTCTAGAATAGGGGAGGACACATCAGTTTTTATCAGAACGTTCCCATCTGGAAAATGGTACCAATATTGCCTGCCTGCCTGCCTGCCTGCCCCACAGGCAGTTACCCAGCTGCAAGCAGACCCAGCGGGGCCACGGCAGTGAGCGCCTTGGTAGGTGAAGTCCGCAGAAGCCAGCATTTCCAGCAGCTGAGGCCCCTGGCAGGTTAAGGCCCCGTAGCCCAGATTCTTGGCAGCAGAGGTGCCCAGTTGGTGAAGTCCCAGGTAAGTGAGATCAACAACCACGGTCTCCAGGAGGTGAGATTCCTGGGAGGTGAGGGCCCCAGCACGTGATACTCCCTCTCCGCATCCCCAGTGGGTGAGGCCCCTGTCGGGTGAGGTTCCTTAAAGCAGAAGCGCTGGCACGTGAGGCCCCAGGCTGGTCGGCCCATGTGAACCAAGAAGCAATGCTGGTCACTGTCTGGTAGGTGGGCTCCTGCTACAGCCGCCAGCAGGCCTTGCACAACATCAGGGCCCCACTGAAGGATCAAGGCTGCAGCATCTCCCGCCAGTGGAAGTAGCTCAGGGAGCCGACATGGTCTTTGTCCAGGGCCAGCAGATCTTGGGCCAGCTCCTTGGGGCTCTGGGAGCTGTCCATGTGGACGAAGGTGTTGGGCGGCGGGAATTGTTTGTGGTTCCTCCTGCTGGGGCAAAACGCCATGGGCATGGTCCAGGCCGGCAGCGCATGCTTCCCCAGCTTCTCTGTGATGTAGTTGGGGTACAAGTTCTGCAAAGCCAGGTCACACTTGTACTGGGACAGGCACTAGGTCATGAATGCCTGTGGCAGTAGCTTGTGGGAGCGCCCATCCACGTCCACTTGGAGATGAATTTAGAGCATCTGGTTGAATCCTTCGTCCGGTCGGACACTACCCAGGCCACCAGCTCGGTCTTAGCTGAGAGGTTGACCGGTGCGTTGGCCGACTGGCCAGGCCATGGCTCCAGCCAGCCATACCACCCGAAGATGTCCGAGTCTCTGCAGTAGGACATGGGAGATTGAAGTACCCATTCAGGGCACTCAGTTGTGGGCAGTAGCCAAGGCAGTTTCATGTTAAACCAGACACAGCACTGGCTGGTCGGCCTCAGGGAAGGAGGAAGCTGGGCCTGCGGTCAGCAGCTAACCTCTAGGATGCACGAGGGCCGCGCCCACCTGAGGGTACATGCTGCGGTTGGTGGCCGAGTGGCAGTCAGCTATGCCAGGCCACAGCTCTGAGCAGTGGGGTGCTGAATGTCCATGTCCACAGCAGGAGAAGCAGGAGTGGGTGGGTGGGGGGCTCCCCCAAGGTGGCCTGGCTGGGTCCCCCCCCCCCTGCCCAGAGGATACTGGCCCTGCCCACCCATTAGGAGCTGTGGTGAGAGAGTCCATTGTCGACTCAGGGGACCACATGGACTCGGGGGACACACACAGGTAGGAGAAGAAGCACAGGCCAAAAGCAGCTGTAACAGCCCCCCAGGGAGCTAATGGTGCCAGTCGAGCGGATCCATGGGTCAGAGCAGCTGGGAGGAGGGAGAGTGGAGACAGTATCACTGATAAAAATAACCCATGCCGAGGGGGCACACGTGGGCCACCAAGGTTAATATCCCCGAGTCCTGAGGGGGCACCGGTATGACTCCTGTTTTACAGATGAGAAAACAGGCCAGTGATGCAGAGTGAGGAAGTGGCGGAGCTCGAATTCCAACGAAGACCGTCTGACCCGAGTCCACTTTCTCCTGGCACTTAGGCAACATGACGGTTTCTCTGCCCGGGGAGGGTCCCCAGGGAAGGTGGGATAGGTCCCAAAGCTCTCAGGTCCCACCTTGACCCTGCCCTTTCTCGACTTTCCCAGACTCTTCTCTGATCTGGAGAAGACAGAGTTGGTTACAAGAGGATTAAGTCTGGGGCTCTGTCGGAGAGGGACACAGTGGGATTGGGTTTGAAGGTTAAGTAAGAACTCACCAGGTAGATAGGGGTCAGGGGAAGAGAGTTCCTGGCAGAAGGAACAACCAATGCAAAGGCCTGGAGGTGAAAGAGAGCCTGGCCTGTTTGCAGGGAGAGCCAGTGTGAACTTGATTTTATATTCACTTGGTGTTTCACAGTCACTAAGGGCTCAAAAATAGCTCCTCTGGGCCTGTCCTGGCTAATTTCCCTCCAATCCCAGTCCTTCCCGTCCCCAGGAGTGGTCATGAAGTCATCCCAGGACCACAACCCCTGGAGAGGAAATCTATGACCTTGGGTCTGCAGCCCTGGAGCTGCCCATTTCACAGGTGAGAAAACTGAGGCCCAGAGAGACACATCTGTCTATTGCCTGAGTACACACAGCTAGAGCCATTATGATCAAGAACCTCAACTCTCCCCTCTGAATGTAACCCTAAACTTCTCTCCCACTTAGTCAGTGGAGCTCAAATCTACAGCCTGGCACTGTCTGATAGAACTTTCTGTGATCAGGGAATTGTTCTACCTCGCACCATCCCATTCACTGGCCACTCGCCCAGTATGGCTACTGAGCCCTTGAAATGTGGCTGTGCTGTCCCAGGAATGGAGTTAATGCTCATTTACATTTAAAAACGTATATTCTCTTCCGTACATTGAAAACAACTTCAAATAAAAAGTAAAAACAAACCAAAAATAATGTCTGGTTCCCAATTCAATGATTGGAAAATATGTAAGAACATTTGGAACACCCGGGATGTGAAAATCTGCTTTTCCACCGTATGTTTTATGGAGTCTAAGTACAGATCAAGTATCTAAAATGAAAAGTGGGTGTCAGCATTAGGTGAGCTGCCATAAAATACACATTGGATTTCCAAGACTTAGGATGAAAAAGAGAATAAAAATATCTCAATAATTTTTATACTGATCACACATCAAAATAATACTAGTTTAGATCTATTGGATTAAAGAAAGTATATTATTAAATTAATTTCATAAAATATACTCCAGATTGCCAAAACTTCATATGAAAATGTAGCTACTAGAAAAATACTAACTATACATGTAGCTTGCATTGTACCTCTATTGGACAGTGTTCATTGCTCTAGGATTTTTTAGAAATATATTTTTATTGATTTCAGAGAGGAAGGGAGAGGAAGAGACAGATGGAAACATCAGTGATGAGAGAGAATCATCGATTGGCTGTCTCCTGCACGCCCATGACTGACAATCAGACCAAGACCTCCTGGTTCATAAGTCAACACTCAATCACCGAGCTACGCTGGCCAGGTGCTCTAGAATTTTTAAGAAAGAAATTATTTATATGAATCATAATTTATTTAAAACTGATCTGACAGTATTTTTTTCACTTTATTTTTTAATATATATTTTTCCCATCACCATTTATCCCCACTTTATTCTCCTCCACCTCCACCCACACCCCTCCCCTCCGCAATCACCACACTGTTGTCTGTGTCCATGAGTTCTTGCTCTTTCTTTTTTGCTCAATCCCTCCAACCCTCTCGGGCCCTCTCCTCCAGAGCTGTCAGCCTATTCTCTACCTATGAATCTGTTTTTATCTTGCTTGTTAGTTCAGTTTGTTCATTAGATTCCACATATGAGTGAAATCATATAGTACTTTTTCTCTGACTGGCTAATTTCACTTAGTATAATGTTCTCCAGGTCCATCCATGCTGTCACAAAGGGTAAAATTTTCTAATTTTCTCCTTTTTTTTTTAATGACTGAGTAGTATCCCATTGTGTAAATGAACCATAGCTATTTTATCCACTCATCTATTGATGGACACTTGGAATTGCTGGGTCATAAGGCAGTTCCATTTAAAAAAATCTTTAAATCCTCACCTAAGGATATTTTTCTATTGATTTTTAGAGAGAGTGGAAGGGATGGGGAGAGACAGAGAGAGAAAAACATCTATGTGAGAGAGACACATCTATTGGTTGCTTCCTGCACTCGCCCTGACAGGGGCCAGGGATAGAGCCTGCAATCCAGGCATGTGCCCTTGACCGGAATTGAACCCAGGACCCTTCAGTCCCTGGACCGATGCTCTATCCACTGAGCCAAATTGGCTAGGGCCATTTTTAAATTTTTGAGGTGTCTCCATGTGGCTTTCCACAGTGGCTGCACCAATCTACATTCCCACCAACAGTGCACAAGGGTTCCCCCTTTCCACATCCTTGCCAACACTTGTTTGTTGGTTTATTGATGAGAGCCATTCTGGCAGGTGTAAGGTGATATCTCATTGTGGTTTTAATTTGCATTTCTCTGATGATGTGTCACATTGAGCATATTTTCATATGTCTATTGGCTATCTGTATGTCCTCTTTGAAGAAGTGTCTATTCAGGTCCTTAGCCCATTTTTTAAATAAACATTTAAAAATGTTTGTATTGATTTCCAGAAAGAAAAGAAGAGGTAGAGAGAGAGAAACATTGGTGTGAGAGCATAATATTGATCACACCCCCCACCCCCACCCCACCAGGGAAGAGACTGAAACCTTTAATGCCTGGGACTCCAGCAGCCTCCATCCCACTCAGCCACAATCCCTGCTGGTTTTCACAGCCAGAAGTATGGGGAATTCTCTTCTTGGCACTGGGCTGGGGGCCTAGTGTGGAGCTTGGACCCCTCACTTCGGAGGGAAACCTCCACAGCCCATTATCTCTCTTGATATTTCTCTGCCAAACTTGGGTGTGGGACCAGCCTTCCCGTGTCTCCCCCTCCTACCGGTCTTGATGTGGCTTCTTCTTTAATTTCACAGTGGTAGGACTTCCACTTAGCTCAGTTTCAGGTGGTTCTGAGTGATGGTTGTTCTGTAGTTTAGTTGTAAGTGTGATGTGGTTGTGGGAGAAGGCGAGTACTGTGTTTACCTACACCACCATCTTGCCTGGAAGTCCTTTATTTTTTCTTTTGTTTCCTTTGCCCAAGAAGATATATCAGAAAAAAAACATTGCTATAAGAAATGTCCGAGATTTTACTGCCTATGTTTTCTTCTAGGATTTTTATGGTTTCAAGTTTAACATTCAAGTCTTTAATACATTCTTTTTCTTTTATACATTTTGAGTTTATTCTTGTGTGTGGTGTAAGAAGGTGACCTAGCCCTGGCTGGTTTGCTCAGTGGTTAGAGTGTCAGCCCTCGGACAAAGGTTCTCGGGTTCAATTCCCAGTTAAGGGCACATACCTTGGTTGTAGGTTCCCCAGCCCTGATTGGGGTGCATGCGGGAGGCAACCAATTGATCTTTCTCTCTCCTCCTCCTCCCCACTTCCTCTCTCTCTAGAAATCAATGGAAAAATATCCTCGGGTCAGGATTAAAAAATTAAAAGGTGGTCTAGTTTCCTTTTTTTTTGCATATATCTGTCTAATTTTTCCCAACACCACTTATTGAATAGACTATCTTTTTAAAAAAATATATTTTTATTGATTTTTTGCAGAGAGGGAGAGGGATAGAGAGTCAGAAACATCGATCAGCTGCCTCCTGCACACCTCCTACTGGGGATGTGCCCGCAACCAAGGTACATGCCCTTGACCAGAATCGAACCCGGGACCCTTTAGTCCACGGGCCGACGCTCTATCCACTGAGCCAAACCGGTTAGGGCTGAATAAACTATATTTAACCCATTGTATGTTTTTGCCTTCTTTGTCAAATATTATTTGACTATAAAGGCATGGGTTTATTTATGGTCTCTCTATTCTGCTCCATTGATCTATATGTCTGATTTTAAAAAATATTTTTATTGATTTTTTTTTAGAGAGAGAGGGAATGGAGAGGGAGGAAGAAACATCGATGTGAGAGTGAAACATTGATTGGCTGCTTCCCAAATGCCCCCCACCGGGGACTGAGCCCACAACCCAGGCATGTACCCTGACCAGGAATCAAACTGGCAACCTTTTGGTGCATGGGACAACGCCCAACCGACTGAGTCACACCAGCCAGGGCAATATGGACATTTTTTGTTGTTGTTGTTAATCCTCACCAGAGGATGTTTTTCCATTGATTTTTAGAGAGAATGGAAGGGAGGGGTGGAGACAGAGAGAGAGAGAAGCTCATCTGGTGTGTGTGTGGGCAACTGATTGGTGTTTCTCTCTCATATCATGTTTCTCTCTCTCTCCCTTCCTCTCTCTCAAAAAAATCAATAAAAACATATCCTCAGGTGAAGATTGAAAAATATATATCTCAATAATTTTCTATATTAATTAACATACTGAGATAATGCTCTGGATGTACCGGGTAAAATAAAATATATCATTAACATTAATTTTACTAGTATCTTCCTATTCTTTTTATTTATTTATTTATTTATTTTTAAATATATTTTATTGATTTTTTTACAGAGAGGAAGGGAGAGGGATAGAGAGTCAGAAACATCGATGAGAGAGAAACATCGATCAGCTGCCTCCTGCACACCTCCTACTGGGGATGTGCCCGCAACCAAGGTACATGCCCTTGACTGGAATCAAACCTGGGACCTTTCCGTCCGCAGGCCGACACTCTACCCACCGAGCCAAACCGGTTAGGGCTTCCTATTCTTTTTAATGTGGCTGCTAGAAAATAAAAAATTACATAGTATGTGGCAGAAAAAAGTTTGGGGGTCCTCAAAAAGCTAAACAGAGGGTTACCATATCACCCAGCGATTTCACTCCTGGGCACCTACACAAAGGAATGGAGAGCAGGGACCTGAACAGATGTCCACACCCCCATGTTCACAGCAGCACCATTACAACGGCTAGAAGTTGCAAACACCCCAGCTGCCCATCAACAGATGATGGACAAATACAGTGTGGTCCATACGTAGAATGGAATGTT